AGAGAAAGTGAAGGGAAGAGGAATGGGAGCCTGAAATTTTAACCAAGTCAACAATGATATCATTCATTTTTGCTGGAATGGGTTTCATAGGTGGAGTCTGCCAAGGACAGGGCTTACTTTCTTCAGCACGAACATTTCAGAAGCAGCAGAGAAAAACAAAATAGGGCAGAGACTCCCTCCCACGCCCATGCACGTTTAAAAAGCAGCAGAAGACAATACATGTATGAGGAAGATTACCCCTACACACTCTCCTCTGTACGGAAATCCATGATTGGGAGAGAAGCTACGTACAGCGTGAGGGCGAACAGAAAGGGAACTGAAGGAAACACCACATAAAGGCTGTACCACCAACTACGCAGATCGGCAGAACTTGAACTGCTAAGAATATGATTTCACAAAACAGCTGAAGAAGGGAAGTAACTCTGTTCCATTCTGACAAGGAAAACCTGAAAGGTAAAGTGGAAGGACAGGAAAGCACACAACCCATTGTTTTGGGAAAGGGAATATCTACAGTCCTTTAACGTTTCAGGGCTTACCACGCCTAGGTAGTGGGCAAAGGGGAGACACCCTAGAATTCTGTGCTGGTCTCTATGTGGCACCTTCTGCGAGAATGGGGATGTTCTATACTCGCGATGTCCGATGTGGCTGCCCCTAGGAGGCTACTTTCAAATGTGGCTAGTGTGTCTGCAGACCCGAATGTGAAATTGAATTGAATTATTAAAATTGAAATAGCCACGTGAAGTTCATGGCTACTGTATTGGGCAGTGCAGGTCTAGATCAGTTGATTCCAAACCTTTTTTTTTTTTTTTGAAAGTACTAGGATCTCCTGCACCTTCCCTCCACCCATGAAATATGACTTAAACTCCGATATGTAACACAATACAACTGAAACAAGCCGCCGTGTTTGTGTGAGTTGTGAATGTGTCTGCCAAACTTTCCCATCACTTCACATAGGGGCCCCTCCAGCATCTCCAAGGAAGACTAGGTCTCAAGGTGTGGAGGAGGCAGCTACACAGAACTTGGCAATGGATCGAACTGGGGAACTGAGGATGTTTCCAAATGTGTGGCTGAGGTGATCAGGTAGAATACCAAGACGTGATGCTATTTACTGAGAAAAGAAATAAGGGAAGAGGGATGAAAATGAACATGTCAGTTTTGAACATGGGGTGGTAGCCAGAATAGCACCCCCCACCCCCCACCAAGATGCCCACATCCTAATCTTGGGAAGTGGTGAATGTTAATATACAAGGTAAAGGGGAACCCAGGCTACAGAAGGGACTAAGATTGTTCATCAGCTGACCTTAAGGTAGAGAGGCAATCCTGGACTACCCAGGTGGGTCCAATGTAATCACAGTAGGCTTTAAAAATGGAAGAAAGAGGCACAAGAGGAAGGAGAGGGGGAACCGTGACTGCTGAAGGATGATCACGTGAAGCGATGTAGCGGCTTTAAAGATGGCGGGAAGGGCCCACCAGTCAGAATGCGGGTAGCCTCTAAAAGCTGCAATGGACAAAGAAGGAGATTCTTCCCAAGAGCCTCCGGAAGGGAACACAGCCCTCCTGATATCTGGATTTCAGCCCAGGGAGACCCGTGTTGGACTTCTGTGCTATGAACTGTGAAGTGATACATGTGTGTGGCTTCAAGCCACTGCATTTGTGGTGATTTGGTACGGCAGCAGGAAACTAGCACACATGTGAAAGCTGCAAAGAAAAAACCTTGTAGGTATGAGAAAAAAAGAACTATTCAAGGAAGTGGCAGCAAAATGGTAGAAAGCGCATTCTACAGACTGAGGACAAAGGGAGTTCATTTACCATGGAACACGGGTTCCAGAGCATTGTGGGAAAGGTTGGGCAGGGCAGTGGTGTGTCAAGACCCAAGCTACTTAGAGCCAAATGGGGATGACAGTATGCAAAAGAATAGGGGCTGTGGTTTTTTTTTTTTTTCCAGCCTGAGTCTCTAACACCAAGCCTAGGGCATAACAAATGCTCAATGTTTGCAGAGTGGAACTGCAGGACAGGGCTGTAGTTTACACGGTGGGGGATGACCCTGGAATATGGGAAAGGGAATGCGAGACTCCAGGTGGGATTAACTAGCCCAGGTGAGGCCCTGTGGGGGTGGAGGGGTGCGGGGAGGGGGCCTAGAAGGTCTCAGCATCGGAGAGGTGAAGTCAGCATTCAAGGAGCTTTGGACCACCCTGAACTCAAAGTGGACGTGTACATAATGGAAGAAGTAGGGCACAAACTAGTAACGAACACAGAAATGAGTCCTGGGACCAGAGACCTGTGAGGGTAGCCTCAGAAGAGCAACAGCCCAGAATAAGCTGAAATGTGTGGAATATGACAAGACTTTTTAGGCTACAGAGGATGCAGATGTGCTGAACTTCAATTTTCTCAAAGAGAATGATTTTCAAACAGCAAATGTGATAGAAACAAGGTTAGGCAGGCTATGAACCTCAGGATGGATATATTTAAAAAAATCTAAACATGTCAATAAACACAACTCTTCATGTCTTAGTAAACTACATATGTTGGATTCACAAATGTGATTATATATCTAGTGATCAGTGACATTTGAGAAGTTGCAGGAACAGAAAAGCACCATATCATCAGATATAGGTAAGTGTTACTCCTATTTTCTGAAACAAAAACGCTATCTCCTAGTCTATAATTCAGTACTTTCAAAGAAATTAAAACACCAAGAAAAATATGTATTAAATGGCCGGCTTTGGTCAGACACCATACTAGGAGTTTTCATTATACATTACGTCATCTAATGCGAATCCTTAGACAAAAAGAGGGGGTTATTATTCATTCATGTACACCTGGTTATACTGAGAACAAGTCATGCCAAACGTGGAAGGAAAACACAGGAGCCAGTAGTAAGTCCTCTGGGGAAGTAACTTAGTATCTCCCTAAAAACAACCAGAGACCTATAGCTTGGATGATAACAGAGTCTGTGGTAGGCCCAGAGCTACAACAGTGCTGGGGGCCGAGGGAGCACTCACTATATGTTAAATAAGGGACACACCTCACAGCTGATTAGAATACTGAAGTGCTCCCAGTCAGTAGACAGTGTGGGTCCTCTGGGGAGCCTTTGAAGTTGGCCTTAACCTAGTCTATCCAGCTCAACATTTGGACCAATAACTGTGAGATGACGCCGACTTACCACACTCAAAGATAACACTCCAAGGACAGTCAATTTATTAGAAGGCAAAAGTCAAGATTCAAAAATATCTCTTCATTAGGTATGAAATTAACAGAGTAGAATTTAATAGGATGAACGATCAAGTCCAGTACATGGGCTTAAAAAAATGAACTGCACAACAACAGGATGAGGAATCCAATTTTAAGAGCAACTGCAAGAACCCAAAAGTTTTCATTTACTGCAAGCTCAGTAAGAGGTAGCAGTCTGATACAACAGTCAGAAAGAAAAACAAACCCTCTAATGGAATTCTAGGCTGCATTAAGAAAAGACCATGTTCTCTTCACTAATAATACTATTCTGGGGAATGGACTCAGTTCTGGAAATCCCATTTTAAAAGAATCAATAACTGAACTGTGCACTGGGAGGAAGATGAGATGTAGGCTAGGGAACATTCTGGACAAAAGCTACTGAAGGAACTGAAGATGTTTAAACTGGGGGGGAAAGACTTTTGGGGGAGGGGATGGTGGACAGCACAATGTTATTCTTAAAGATGATATACTGTCTAATGGAAGAGGGATTTGACTAGTGATGTCAAATGGGTTTCCCTTCCTGAGGCAGTTCTAATCAACTGGTAGTCACGGCCAAGAACTGGTGCTGGGAAAGATTCTGAGACTGAGTGTGGTCAGCGGGAAAGATCGCTGCGATCAATTATTACCCACTATCATCGGTTTGGAGGAGGGCAGCTGCCTACGTGAGTGTTGAGTATTTACTATTTGCCGCCATCACAATCACACCCATCAAAGTCCAAATGAAGTTACACTTTTCCAGAGATGTGTCCCTGCTGCTCTCCATCTTGAACTATCTCTCCTTTTTCTAAACTCTTAGCCCAGTCCCCCATGCATCTTATTCTTATCCAATTCTCTGGCTCTTTCCATTACTGCTTCTGGAAAGACTGCTTCCTTTTCTAATTAGATGTAAGCATCTTGAGTACCCAGCTCACTTTGATCTTCCTCACTGCATGCAAAGTGGGGGATACTCAAAGATTAGCTCACTGATTTTAAGCCAGGGACTTCTGCCTTCCAGAGGACACCCGGCTGTGTCTGGAGACATTCATGACTGTCAGACTGGTGGGGAGGTGCTACTGGCATCTAGTGGGTGGAGGCCAGGGATGCTGTTCAGCACCCCACAGTGCACAGGACAGCGCCCACCACAAAGACTTTTTGGGCTCCAAGTGCGACAGTGCCGCAGTTAAGAAGCCTTGGGTTAGATGAGTGACCTAGGGAAAGGCAAAAGAAGCAAAGCCCCAGAGCTGGCGGACGTTTGTAGGTTGCAATGCGTGGGCTATAATGAGATCAGCCAGCCGGCGGTTAGACAGGTTGGGCCCAACACCCTAGTCCGCAGCAGGATGGAGAGACAGGGTCAACAGCCGGGTCCCGCAGGAGCCCTACGTTCCCCGGAGCAACCGCCCCCCTCCCAACCTTCGCTCCATCCCATACCTGCGCGGCGACGCAGACAGCGTAAATATCCAGGGAGTTCCCGCGGTAGCGACCCGCCTTCCGCAGCTTCAGTTAGGACTGCCTCGCAGTCCTCGCGAGACTCAGCCGCTGCGCTCTCGCGACACTTGGGCGGGGCTTCCGGCGGCTGCGTGGCGGGACTTCAACTGCTTCGGCTGCTGGGCGGGCCTCGGGAGAGGGCGGGACCGGCTGTGAGCGGTGGGGCTACGAGATACCTCGCCTTGTTTGGCCTCTCGGTTCCCAGGCTTCCTCCGTCTCTGACTCCGCCCTCCAGCCTTCGGTGAGAGTAGCCCGAGCCCGGCGCCGCCCGCCCATTAGAACCCGAAGGAAGGAAGTACGTTTCTCTGCCAGAGTTCCAGTTCCCGGCGGGCGGCCGAGCGTTAAGCAGCCCAGTGCTTCCGGATTCCCCGGCGCCGAGGCTGGGCTCTCGGGGCTGGGACTCCCTACATTCCCACCTCGGGGCGGGCTGGGCGGGGCTGGCTTGGAAGGAAACCGCCCAGTGAGGGCAGAACCAGGTGGACACACCGGCTCCTTCTCGGGCGCCGGCAGAGGTGCCGGCAGAGGTGCCGGCAGAGGTGAAGCGTCCTGTTTGTTTTCCTTAAAGAGCCCTTCCCCGCCCGGCCTCCTAGGGCTTGGCTTCCCCGAAGGTCAGCCACTGGTCCGTTTTCAGAAACTCACATCCTCTCTGCTTGCCAGGTAACCCAAACCATCTTCTCTTTCAGTGCACCATGCCCCCCAAATATGACGTGTTGACTCAAGATGAGCTGCGCAAAAGGCTGTACCAGATGTTTAAGGACCGGGGTATACTGGACGCGCTCAAGGTATCAGTTCTAGGCATATCTGTTACATGACTTTTCCAGGTGTGACTTGTAACAGGTAGTCCCCACTTCAATCCATCCGGGTCTTGGGTTTTAAAAATAGTATGTATAGGTTGTATTGGTGAGAGTTTTATGTTTTGTGTAACTCATCCTGGAACAATAGTCTCAAATGGCTTAGAGTTTGAGTAGCCTTAGAATATATTCAGATGATGTATTGAACTGACATCAAGAGACGGGAGTAACTTTATGAAATGAACACATTTTAATAAAGTTGGGGTTGTTTTGTGAAGCTGATTTATAGGTTCCTGAATTAATAAATGGTTTTGAAATAGTCATGCTTGAATGAAGGACATTGGCACCATATAGAAAACATTAAATGTACTGCATACCGAAAAATAGTTTGGGGAATGAGAACTTTCTTTTTTAAAACCTGTCGAAAGGCATGAATACTTCATTTGGGCAGCAAATACTTATTAGTATGAATTAACAGCAAAGGAGTAGGATTAACAGCAAAGAGGAGGATTACTCAAATGTGTTTTCATGACTATATACATTTCCAAGGAATATTTCCCACTTAACATGGGAAATTAAGGCAAAGTGAGCTTCATTCCCCCCATTGTTTTTGTAACTAAAAAAAAAAACACTTCAAACTTATCTGAAAAATACAGAAAACAAAGAAGGACAGTCATTTCTCAGAACCACTAATTGGCATAATGATATGTGTGGGTGTGTGGATTCTCAGTTCAATACATGCTGAGCTTTTTCCTGTATCCTTAAAAGTTTCTGGAAATTCTCATTTTCACTGGGACTCTGCTCGTGTTTGGATGTACGTGTAATTTATGTAGCAGTCCCCTGTTGAATATTTAATTTGGGCAGGAAATATTAGGACAGTTTATATATAAATTCATAGCAAGGAGTAGGGTTAGTTGGAATGTGTTTTCACTACTATGTATTTCAGAAGTATATTTTACACTAAAAATGCCAAATAGGTTATACCCAGGTCTACACATCTTTCAACTGCATGTCTCATTTCTTGCCTAGGATAGTTTAAGTGGCATTGCTTATGTTGCCATATTACTCTTTATCCTGGAAAATCAAATAAAAGGGCATGAGCGTTTCTTTTTAAGGCTCTTAGCATCTCGTTCTAGAAAGATTGTAATAGTGTATATTCCACCAGCAGTTTGAGAATGCTTGTATCACTCCAATATTAGCATCAGAATTTAAAACTGTCGAGTAGGTCAGTTGGTTAGAATGTTGTCCCAATGCACCAAGGTTGCAGGTTCGATCCCTGGTCAGAGCACATACAAGAATCAACCAGTGAATACATAAATGAGTGGAACAACGAATTGATATGTGTTTCTCTTTTCCCCTCTTCCCCCTCCTCCTCTCTCCCCCTTCCTTTCTCTCTCTAAAATCAATCAATAAGATAATACCAATGTAAGATTGAAAATCCCTTATTTTAGTATTTATCCCTTTGATTATTAATGAGATTATACATATTTTCTGGCCATCTGTATGGTTTTCTGTGGATTGGCAGTTCGTGTCTCTTGCTCATTTTTTTAGGGTGTTAGTGTTTTCTTATTAATGTATAAGAACCCCCTTTTCCACTTTTGTGGCAATACTTTATCTCAGTGTTCAATTTTATTTTTCTCTAAAATATGATGTTATATTTTTATATGGTCAAATCTACTGATTTATTTTTCAGAGTATTCTCAGTAAATTTTCCTCTACTAAGAATATTCCCTTTTTAAGTTTTGAAACAGGCTTCAGTTTTTATAGTTAACACTTTAACCCACCTGGAATGAATTGTAGTGTATCATGCACTTTAATACACATTCTGATGTGGAATGGTCCTTGCGTTCCTGGGCATGGCACTTTTTTCCTGTGTTTCTGGATTAGATTTGAGAGTGTCTCACTTCCTGTCCGTAGTCACAATGGCCACTAATCCTTCTGGAGGTGTCCTTGTTTTTTTGAGCCAGCCTTGTTTGTCCTGCAGCTGCAGTGCATTGTCTGCAGCTGGCTGTTGTTTCTGGAATTCAGGCTTCATCAGTGGCAGGGCAGAGTTTTACTCTCGGTCTGAGCTGATTTTGATTTTCTCAGTTCAATGACTGTGGCTTGAGTAAGTTCTAACTTTTAAAACTTACTGAATTTTTTAGTAGCTTAGCTCATATTCTGTGTGAATGTTTCAAAAGAATTTGTATTATCATTTAGTACAGAGTCATAGATATTAAATGAAGTGTATGAAATCTTTTTCATCTTTTGAGTCTACTCAATTTGTCAGTTTCCGAGATGTGCTGAGGATTCCTGGGACTCTCTTCTCCCACTTGTCCTCCCCCCCATAATAATTATGCCTAGTATGTTAATCTTGGGGACATTGCAAGGTTTCTATTTGAATGGATTGTCCTCTTTGCACTGGCTGCTGGAAAGCCCGGCCAGTTTTGCAGTTCCTTCCAGCAAGTGTTAGATGGCATGATTTTGTATTAGTCAAGATGGAAGTTCATTTATAAGGTTTCATTTCTTTTACTCTTCTTTTCCTTTTAATCTGCTCGTATCACTTTTTAAAATTTGATCTTATTTCAGTACTTGTTTGTAAGACGCCCTGAATCACTTTTATCAATTCATCTAAATATAGTAATTCCTCAGTATGTTACAAATCTGGTTAAACCACCTTTTAATTTTACCAGTGGAGAATGCTGTAGTTTCTCCTCTCCTGTTTTATTATTTCTGTTACTGAACTGGATTCGATGGGGCGAGCATGTATATTCTACTCAGTGCAAATGAGTTTTGTATAACAGGATTTTCGATGTATAAATCCTATTCCATACTGGTAATTATATAGTGTTCCTGTCTCTAGCTGAAGGACAGAAGACAGAGGTATAGCAACTCCACTTGCTTCTTGCTTGTATTCTATTGATGCAAATACATTAGATATTATTTAGTGTTGAACCGCATGGATATAGGCAACACACTCTTAAGCTTAGCCCAATTATGTTTCCAGGTTATATGCAAAATAGATGAGAACAAATATCAGTAGTTCAATTAATTCAGAGATTTTCTTAAACCCAAAGGAACAATAACACTAGTTATAACCTTGAAAAAACTACCACCTTGAACCTAAATTTCCTTATTTATAAAATGTGAAAAAAATTGTATTTCACGGTGTCGTGAGATGTAAATACTATATAGAAAAGTGTATCTTAATAAGCCTTCTTTGGGTTTACTGATTTCTCTCTTGCATTTGTTACTTCCTTTTAGGGAAACCCAGTTTTATTTTGATCCCTATGCCCAGTAAGCTGGTTTCGCCCAGTATTGTTTTCATATCCTCCAACAATCTGCAGAGAAATGAGGAAGCAACAGAGTTTTCTCTTATACTTGATATCCCAATCAAACACTGCTGACATGGGCTCATGGGGGGGACAAGTCAGAGTCCCCCTGTGTTCTGGCTCACCACCGGTTCACTGGGACGCTGGCGAAAGCGAGCTGCTTTGACCAGAACCCATGGGCTGCTTGTCTCACAGAGTGAGGCAAAGTGCATCAAAGAAGTTCCTGGCTTCTGGTCGTGGACCTAGGACCTCTGTGGAAATAAAAGGGAAGATTCCCATTCATGTGGCTAATGTGTATCTTCCATGCAGCAATCCTGCTGAAAGTTTGTTCCCTCCCTTTCTCTTTTCTGTTTTTGAGCCAGATGCAGCTGAGAAAGCAGCTCATTCAGGAACTGATGCACCCTGTACTGAGTGGAGAAATGGAGCCCCGGTCCATCTCAGTGGAAGGAAGCGCCCTGTTAATAGGCGCTTCCAACTCTCTAGTGGCAGATCACTTACGGAGATGCGGCTATGAGTACTCGCTTTCAGTTTTCTTCCCAGAAAGTGGCTTGGCAGAGGAACAGGTAAAGTTTTTCCTCTCTGTTTCTGAATTTTCTATTAGCAGCCTTCTGCTCCCCCCCTCAGATGATAGTGAAGTGCTGCATCATAGCTGAGTGCTCCCTGGCTGGCTTGGTCCATTTCTCAGTCACCTTTAAAGTCACATCATAGAGTTGGTATATTAACGCGAGTAAAGTTTGATACTGTTATCAGTTCGATGGAGTCTTGATTAGAGTTTTATGAAAGTATGCTGTGTAGAATCACAACATGTTTCACAGCTAGAATTGATCCGAATTGAGACTCGTAAGTGCCGTTTATGTGGCATGTCTGTTGAGAGCTCAGCACTGGGATGCTGGCAGTGCCGGTGCACGTGTGTCATAATGAGGAACCATGGTCTGGAAAGGTGGGTGATTTGCTCAGGGTCACAGGATGTGTAGGTGGTGACACAGGGCAGTGAATGTAGGCCCCTGAAAGGTGGCTTTACAGTGCCGCGGTCTCTGCCCCTTGATATTTCTCTTCTCCGTGCTTACATGGGCAAGTGAGGAATGCATTCACTTTTTAAAAATCTGTGGCATTCTCAAATATTAAAACATGTTTTTTCACTCTCCTAATTATTTTAATTCTCTTTACCATTACTTTGAACATATTTGTCACACTTTATTATTTTAAAGGCGGACATAGAAAATGTTCCCTGTATTAGAGAAGTTTAGGTTCACAGCAAAATGGAGCAGAAAGGGAGAGCTCTTGTACGCTCTCTGCCTCTGCACGGGTCCAGCCTCCTCCATTATCAACTTGTTACACTTGGTGAACCTGCACTGTGACGTTAGCGTGACCTGAAGTCTACAGTTGACATCAGGGTGCACTTTTTGTGTTGTCCCTGTGTTTTTACTTTCTTCCTTTTATCTATAGTTGCCCAAAAGTTTTTTAAATTTTATATTTTTTAAAGATTTTATTTACTTATTTTTAGAGAGCAGGGAAGGGAGGGAGAAAGAGAAGGGGAGAAACACCAATGTGTGGTTGCCTCTTGCATGACCCCACTGGGGGCCCCAGCCATGTGCCCTAGACTGGGAATCAAACCAGCGACCCTTTGGTTTGCAGGCTGGCACTCAATCCACTGAGCTGCACCAGTCAGGGAAAATCTTATTTTTTGTTTAATCTGGCAATGATTCTTGGTTTTATATTCAGAAACATCCTAATTCATCATTTAAACATTGATATAAAAATGTTTGCTTACTTAATCTTTTTCTCTTAAGGTATTTACTATGCAGGATCTATTACAGCTCATTAAAATCAACCCTGAGTCCAGTCTCTACAAATCACTGGTAGGATTATTTAGTTTTTATAACCTACTTTGGTTTGTTCATTATACCTGAATAGTCAAATAAAAGTAAACTGTTTTCTTTTAACAGGTTTCAGGATTTGATAAAGGAAACAATAAAGGTAGGAGCCTTCATCTTTATAGAGATATAGTAACATTTTTGTCATGTATTTTTCCTATAAAAGTATGAAACTAAGCGCTTTTAGGGTGAAGACTAGGGAATCTAATTTGAATTAAATTATGATTTTTCTTCTTGACAACCTTTGACAAAAGTTGCTGAGAATCACTTGGCGTGGGGAAAACCCCACACACATCTGGTGACCAGCAGTGTAGCAAGTAGAGTGCTCGGTGGTACCTGTGTAAAAGTAAAGGAGACTCGCAGGGAAGAGAGACCTAGTACAGAAGAGCTGGGTTCCCCCCTAGACAGAAGGGGGAAAAACAGATATTTTTTCATTTGCAACTGCCATGGTGCCAGACCATGGACTAGGCTTGACAATGGACATTGTAGCATGAACTTAGGCTGGTAACCTGCTTGTAATGCATAATTCTTCAGGTCTTCAAAGTCATCTGCAACATTATATAGTGGTCCTTCTATGTTGTGCACTCCTGGGTTTTTGTCTGTTGTCAGCATTGCTGCTAACCCCACTAGGATATTCATTCAGAACCTACCACTCAGCAAGCATTTGAGTCCCTACTTTGGGCCAGCCCTGAGTATGTGACTTAGTTGCCTGGTCTCTTTGGAGTCATGTTAGCAGAGGATAAGTAAACTGGATCACAAGACATTCCACACTGACTGCAAAGTAGGTTATCCGCATGGAAGTCCAGTATGGTCAGTGGTCCTCTATTTCATATTCTGTGCCAGTGCTATCTACTGAAATTCTCTGATGATGGGAATGCGTGTATCTTTGCTGTCGGATTATGGTAGCTAACAGCCACATGTGGTTATGTTGAGCATTTGAAATGTGGCTAATGTGACCGAAGAACTGAAATTGTAATTTAAATTTAGACAGCTACATATGAATAATAGTTATATATTGGACAGCACAGGTCTCGTGTATATAGCTGGTATCTATAGTTTATTATTGCATTCAGAAATAATCTACTTACAGGTATTTATATTATCCTTAAAAATAGCTTTTCAGCTTTATGTACTCTCTGTAAATCCTTCTGGTTCAGAAGGACATCTGGCTAACACCTCTTTCCAGCTTCATCTAGCATCCTAGTAAAATTTCAGAAACTCAGAAATTAGCACACGTGTCAGGCATCTTAGTGAAAAAGTTTGAATAGAACTTCGGTAACAGTGAAACAGCCACTGTAAAAGCAAAGTGATTTTAAAAATTGGCGGCTTCTGATTACTAGGGTAAGATCATCAGAAAACATATAGAAAAATATTTCGCACCTAACTGTTGTCTGTCCCCTTGCAAGGACCTATAGTCTTGTCTTTCCATGTCTGTACTCCAGTGTTGCTGATCTGTTGAATGGCCACAGTGCTTTTGCCCTAGATTCCACTTACCCATTCTTGCCCCTGATTTTTCCCTCAGAGATCATTATGCCCAGAAAATAGCAGGGCAGGAAATTTGGATGAGGGTAAAAAACTTGGGCACTGGCTTTTTGTTTCCCGAAGTTAAGGCCCTTTCCTGTGATAGGCAAAAGAATAGATACATAGATCAGTGGGTCAGGTGTGAGAGCCCAGAAATAGATCTGTACAAATATAGTCAACTCATTTGGACAAAGAGCAAAGACAATTAATTTATTGGAGGAAGTGAAACTGGAAAAGTTGCAGTTTGTGCTGCCTGTCACTACCTGAATCAATAAGTAGAGACAAGATTGACTCTTTATGGGCACTTTATTCAGATGGCTGATGGTCTAAGAAGATGGCGGGTTATGCACCCTCAGAGACTTTCTTAACATGTCATCTCAAGCTGACCTTTTTTAGAAGGAGGAGAAAAGGGTAGGTAAGGGTTTTGGAATTCAGGAAGAAAGTAGGTAAGGGGTTTGGAATTCAGGGAAAAGGTTAGTCAGATAAAAGATGAAGTCCGATGATTTTCCTGGCATCCCAGCAATTCTTCATCTGCGTCTGAATGTTTTGTCCCTGGAGCACAGTGGCTCAGATACCATCTTGATGGCTTGCAGTCCTCCTAGGATGCAAAGGTCGAATTGCTTGTGGGCCTCCTGGAATTGGGGTAGGACTGGTCATACATTCCAGTTCCTGAAACAGTAGCTTTCTACATGCACTAATTATTAAGCCTATTAAATGTAAATTAAATCAATTTTTTTAAACTGTTGAGTTCCCCCACCAGAAGGATAGTCTTTTCAACAAGTGGTACTGGAACAATCAGATGCCCATATGCACAAAAATGAAACTAGACACAGACCCTACACCTTACACCAAAATTAACTCAAAACACACCATAGATCTAAATGTAAAATGCAAAACTATAAAGCTTTTGGAAGAAAGCAGGAGAAAATCTATGTGAATTGGGTTTAGTAGTGAGCCGTAACACCAGAAGGATGACACTGGGAAGAAAAAAATGGATCAGTTGACTTAATATTTGAAATGATTTATTTATTTATTTATTTATAGACAGGGGAGGGAGGGAGAAAGGGAGAGAAACATCGATGTGCGAGGGCAGTAAGCTGCCTCTCCCACACCCCCGACTGGGACCTGGCCAGCAACCCAGGCCTGTGCCCTGACTGGGAATCAAACTGGCAAACTTTTGGGCCCACATTCAGTCTACTGAGCCACAGCAGCCAGGGCTATAAATGAATCTTAAATGCATGTGGTTAATAAAAGGAGCCTGTTGAAAAAGCTACATGCTATACAATTTTATGTGTATAGCGTTCTGGAAAAGGCTAAACTATAGAGGTGGTGAAACACATCGCTGGTCACCAGGGATTTGGAGGGAAGGGGTAGGAAGTTGAAAGGTGAAGCACAGAGGATTTTTTAGGGTGGTGAAAGTACTTTCTGAATCTGTAATTGCATGATTCATGGTGCTAGACATTTGTCAAAACCTGTAGAACTTTACAAAGTGGACCTTAATATATGCACTGTAGGAGGTCAGGTGATCCCAGGATGGAATGCAGACAAAACTGTAGTAACCTCACTCAAGGGGGCGGGGAGAAAAGGGTACTGCGGCCTTGAATGGTGTGGCTCAGTTGATTGGGCATTGCCCATAGACCATTGTCCACAAACCAAATGGCCGCAGGTTTGAATCCGGTCAGGGCACATTCCTGGATTGCCAGCTAGCTCCCTGCTTGCGGGTGTTCGGGAGGCAACTGACTGATGTTTCTCTCCCTCTCTTTCTCCCTCCCTTCTCTTCTCTCTAAAAATAAAATAAATTTTTATTGATCTAAAATCCTAAAAAGGAAAAAATAAAAGCCCTTAACTTGGCTGATGCAGAAGCAGGCAGGAGTCCATTCAGCTCTGTTGGAAGAAAGTAAAAACTTCTAAAATAATTGATACTCATGGGTTAAAAAAAAAGTTTGCCACTGTTCAGAAGGGTATAAAGTGAAAGAACTGTAGAAATTTCTGGCCATATTCTCTAAATCTCACTTTCTGCTGATAACTAGAACGAATAGATTCCTGTTTATCCTACCAGAATTTAGTTTACCAACCTGAAAACCAGAGTCTATGTAATGAAAACTCACACTGACATGGTCCTATTATAGATAACTCTTACAATTTGCTTTCTTTAGTCACCAGTATATCTCCATAGCCCTACATTTAGACTAATTATTTTTAAGGAATGTATTTAGTTAACCACCTGTTGATGAGGGTTTTGTTGACTTATTGTGTGAGTTTATTGTTTGAGTAGGTGAAAGGCTACATGCATTTCAGATACATTTAAACACAGATTTCCCTCCTGGAGTGATTGGGCCTGTTGATTTCCCCACTCCCTTGTAAACACTTTTAAGTATGAACAGAGTTGTAATCTTAGCAGTCTTAGTGGGAAAATAGAATCTCTCTACTGTAGTATTAATTTGCATTTATTTACAAATTTGTATATGTTTATTTGACATAAATTTTTTTCTATGAACTCTTTGTCCATGCCCCTTTTTAAATTTTCTTACTGATTTGTAAGAGCTCTTGGATATGAAAATGACTGCTCTGTTTCCATACTATAACAAATATTTTTTCCAGTGTATCATTTATCTTTTGACTTTATTTTGTGCCATATATAAGTTCTTAATTTTTATGTTGTTAAATACTTCTTTTTGTTGCTTCTAGATTTTTATTCCCTCAGAAATTATTCTTAAAAGATACATAATGTGCCCTGACTGGTGTGGCTCAGTGAATTGAGCAACGACTCATGAACCAAAAGGTCACCAGTTTGATTCCCAGTCAGGGCACGTGCCTGGGTTGCAGACCAGGTCCCCAGGCGGGGGCGTGGGAGAGGCAGCAGATCGATGTTCCTCACACACATCGATGTTTCTCTCCCTCTCTTCCTCTCTCTCTAAAAATGAATAAATAACAAAGGTACATCATGGGGTAAAGGATAATGTTATAAAACCAAAATTTACAGTGTGACCGAGCAATGGTTGCATGAAAGAAGGTTGCGAGATGAAACCATGTACGTTATGTTTTTTAGGTTTTCTCCTCGAGTTTCTAAAAGAAATGGCAGAATACCATCAGACCAAAGAGATTCGTGACATGGAAACTCAGACAAGTACAACACTTCTTAGCAAAGACTCTCTTGGTAATTGTAGGCTTCTTTCATAATTTCCAGTCTCTGTTTTCTTTTGGGCGGGAGGGAATGACCGGCTTTACCATGTTGTGTGTGTTCCTGGACCCGTAGGGATGTGAGCTGCAGGTGGGGTGCTCCTTCCCTTGGGCCCCATTGGTGGAAGGGGCCAGGTGCTGCTCTCCAGTGCTGCTCCTCCCTTTGGGACCACCAGGGACACACTTTCTAAAACTCATGGGGATGCAGGGGCCCACGTTTCTGTTTGCTGGATTCAACCTCTCAGCTGGGAGGTTCGTCCCTGTGTCTCATCGAACATTACTTCATACCCACTAGTGTGAGAAAACACTAGACTGTTTACATTGCAGAGAACTAGAGAAGTCAATGGCCCATTGGCTCATTTTATGGTTGGGGAGACTGAGGTCATCAGAGGAAGGAAAAGCAACTTGGAAACACCCAGTCTGGGCCAGAACTGATGCTAGAGTGCGTGTTTTCTGTCCATGATCCAGAGCCTTTCCTGCTGCACAACCTTTCTGCGGTACCTTCCTGCCCTTTGTGAGTGGTATGCTCAGGACAGAAGGGACACACATTTCTCTGCCCTTCCTACCCGTAATGAGCATTGGTGTCTTTAACTTGTAAGACAGTAAAAGTCCAGATATCTCCTTCTGCCAGCCTTGTTTTCCTGTGCATACTCTTGGCTGTGCATCGGTGTTTACGTGGTTGAGATTTTACTGTCTGTCTGGGTTTGTACTTTGCTGTGTGGTTGATTCTGATCCACAATTAGTTTGAGGGCTGTGGGTCTGCTGAGAGCACTGGGGTAAGAGACAATCAGTAGACCTGGCTCTGGTCCCAGCTATGCCATCAGGGAGGTGTGTAGCCTCTGGGGGGTCACTTACACTGGGCATCTGTGTCCTTCCCTGTAAAATGGGAGACCTGAAACTCATCATCTTCGAGTCATGCGGAAGTCGGCGTTTTGAGCATGTGACTCCACTTTCAGCAAAGAGCAATAAAAGAACTCTCTGCTTTGGCACTTAGATGCTGCAAAGAGATGCCAGTGTTTTCTGATGTCAGCTGTACTCTGCTTTCTTTTGCCCCTGACATTTTATGATGAAAATTGCCAAACATTCAAAAAAGTTGAAAGTTTTACAGTGAACCCTTGTATACCTCGATGTCACCATTCAATTTGTATTTTACTTGCTTGATCACTTACATGTTCATCCACTAATCTTAATTTTTTAAATTATTTCAGAGTAAACCGTAGACATCCCTGCACTCTCCCCTAAGTACACTTTTTAAACAGTGCACTCTGGCCTCTTGCTCACCTGACCGCATTCCTCTATCTTAATTTCCTGCTTTATTTTTTAATAGCTGAGAAGCTTCAGCTTATTGATGACCAGTTTGCAGATGCTTACCCTCAGCGTCCAAAGTTGGAATTTTTAGAAATCAAGTTAAATGAGTATAAGAAAGAAGTGGAACAGCAGCTTCAGGCAGAAATGCAACAAAAGGTAAATTTATCTTGTTGCTATTAACAAAAGTGGTATTTTTGCTTATCTTTTCATTTTTCATAGGAAAATATTTAGAATCTTTATTAATGAATGTGGTACTATTCTGTTGTTAATATTATTTTCTTTTCCACTCAGTGTCATGTCTTTTTGCCTTTTGAATGACTCCTGCAGGACACTGAATGAGGTGAAAGTAAAGATGAATGAAACTCGATATATTTAGAGCACAAATGTTAAATTTAGACCACGGAGAATTTGTTACTGTTTTTTAAGGGTGTTTATTAGTATTTACAGTTATTTGTGATCAATTGGCAGCTGCAGCATTTTAAAAGTAATGAAATAGAAAAAATCAAAAGGGAAGAGAAGAAGAAGTCTGAGGCAGAATTAGCGAAGTTCTGGAATGACGTTGAGAGAGCTTGTCAAGCAAAATCGGAAGCCCTCCTTTCTCGGGAAAAGATGTCCCTTGAGAGAATTCAAAAGCACCAGGAGGTAATATTTTAAAGCCGTTTACTGGGTGGCTCTTATCTGCAACTATTAGTAGATTGACTTAAAGTCCAGGAGACAGATGGGGCATTCGCTGGAATAATCAATCGGTGGCACAAGGCTGTAGAGGAGCAGTAGGGACTGGGGTCCTGAGCAAGTAGAAGAATTGTTCTGGAAAACAACATGCAGACTTCCTTCTCCCGAGACTGCTGGGAGGAAACCTGGGTGTGAATGGGCGTGTCAGGAGTTTGAGCGACTCGTGCTAAATAAGTGGCAGATGTGAGGGTTATGGAGCGGCCTCAAGGAGAGGGCCAGAGGCGCGCGCTGGCTGCTGGGGTAAAGGAAGAGCAGCTCTTTGAAGCAGACAGGGCTGCTCATCTGTTCCAGGGGCCCTGCTGAGGTGGGCAACCTGGAACTGAAGTAGACCGAGTGCTTACAGATGGTTGTTCTGCTGTAGCTCTTGGGAGGATTTGGAGGGTGAGCCAGGGCAGAAAGAGTCGTGTTTGGGGAATGGAGGTTTATGGAGCTAAGTTTACTTGATTTCAGAAAGGCTGCTCATTTAGTTGAAGACATTGGGGTCCGGCATGAGGGCGAAGGGAACCAGCACAGAGGGTGCATGGCTCTAACCTAGGGGAGAAAGGAGGGCTATGTGGCAATTCCTTTCAAAGACCTGAAGGAATAGGTGTGGGGATACCGATGGGTAGAAGAATAAGGGTGCACTCAGAGGACAGAGTTGCAGGTGGAGGTTTTAGGTGAAGTTGGAAACCGAATGCAGTGTGCTTCCACCAGAGCAAAGGCAAAGGGCCCTGCAGTAGAGAGTCCAGGGCTGCAAGCATCGGCCATGTGGCCATTTGATCTTGCCACCCAGGAAAACGGTGGGACAGGAGTAGAGAGGTTGAGGAGTGGTGGGGAACCTGTGTGGGCAAGAGGGCTTAGAGCTGCTCCTTTAGGGAAAACAGTTCCTTTCCCAAGGGTGTGTCAGACCAGACTGGAGTTGGGGCACCATTTCCTGTGTACAGCCAGAGCTGCTGATACCAGGGGATGGTGGAGGTAAGAGACTTCCTCCCATTGTCAACCCTTGCTTGGAGCTTCTCAGGAAGGCCCCGTTAGTATTGGTAATTGTACCCCCTCCATGATTTGATATAGCATGTCTGGGAATTGGGCTCATTTTAGCTGTAAAAGTTAATGTTGGGAGCACTGGCCATTGAGATGATTGGATTGTGTGCAGACTAACACTTCCATCTTCAAGACAGGTGACTGACTAGGTCAGATCCACCTGATAGTTAACCACCCCTGAGTTCCCATTTAGTGAGTGGCTTCTCTGAAGGCTCTGGAGCAGGTTGCCATCCTCACAAAAGGCACCATGCCTTTACTCCACCCCCTGACATGTCCTTCCCCTTCTCTCCCTGAGAAAACCGCCCTGTCCCTCAGACTTGCAGCTTGAATGCCACCTCCTGGTGGCACCTTCCCTCACTCCCACTGATGAACCCATTTGGGCCTCATTCCTGCCACGGAGACTGTGGATTCTGGTTGTGAAATCATCACACCGTAGAGTGATTGTTTCTCCCTTAGTAAATTGTGAATTTTTTGAAAGCATGGGGGGACTGTAGCCGCTCATCTTTTTATATCCAGCTCCCAGTGTGCTTTTAAAAAAAAAGATTTTATTTTACTTTTAGAGAGAGGGGAAGGGAGGGAGAAAGAGAGGGAGAGAAACTTCAAATGGTTGCCTCTCACACTTTTCCCACTGGGGACTTAGCCTGCAACCCAGGCATGTGCCCCGACTTGGAATGGCACCTGCAACTTTTTGGGTTGCAAGCTGATGCTCAGTCCACCGAGCTACACCAGCCAGGGCCCTGTGTGCTCTTTGACATGCTATTCAGTGAATTCTTGCCCAGTGAACATACAAATGGAAGTGTGGCCTATTCATTCAGGGGTTCATATGAACTTACTAATGCTGAGTGAGAATTACCTATGAGTTGAAACTCTTGGACAACTACTGAACCATGGGGATTCTATTTTGTTAAGTTATATTGCTGACTGTACATTGTTTCTTTTTCTTTTTTGCTGAAGAACTTATCAAAATTTTAAGCAAATGTCTGAGAGATGTCAACAAAGTAGAATAATTATACCAGGGATGTTAGAAATACAGGGCAATGTAGCTTAGCCGTCATTAGGGGAGAAAATACATTTGTGTGTAACCAGAACAAGCAGAATGCATATCTCAAAGTGAAACCTCTCGGAAGTGAAATTGTTACTCTGAATGTCTGTGCTTTGATTGTTTTCTGCAATTTAGGAAGCAGTCTATTAGTTCAGATCTGTTCTATTTTCTTTAGCTTACTTGCTGAACATTAATGCTTTCCTGTACAGATGGAAACGAAAGAAATTTATGCTCAACGGCAGCTTCTGCTAAAAGATATAGATTTGCTGAGAGGCAGAGAGGCAGAGCTGAAGCAAAGAATTGAAGGTTTTGACTTGTAAGTAATATGCTTTTCTTTCGGATATTGACTGACTGTCTAAGAGATTAAAAAAACTACATATGTCTAAGTATTCTCAGGTTAATTGCCAAGTAGAGTTCTCGGTTGTAAAGGTGCTATCACCTAGTTTTAAAAGGCCCAAGTTAAGAGAAATAAAGACTAGGATTTTGCTTTTGAAATATTAGACATTGGGGTGGAAAGCAGAATGAGACACTATCACCAGGCTATAGTACAACCAGACAAATAATTGAAGAAGCTAATGGTTTAAGAAATCCTGTTGCACATTTACATTCAGGCCTTCAGATGTTGCATGTGCACACAGTAACTGGATTTCAGGTACATTTACCTGCTCTGCTGTCAGAGGAAATACGGGGGCTCTGACTTGACTTCTGCTGGGTGAAACTGTGTCTTGTGGTGCGTGTGTACTTCTTCTAAGTGATTACAAATGGTTCATTCTTCATATCTCACCTGGGATTGATAGCAAGCTCACCAGTCTATAGTTTTTGGAGTAAGCTTTCTTTCCCATTAGGTTTTGCTATTAATTGACACAGATACTCTTATTCCATTAAAGAATTTGTCTCCATCTTCAGGAATGTTTTTCTCATTTATATGGGCTCAACTCATTTGATTTCTCCTCTCTGCCTACCTTACTCTTTTTGGCAGTACTGAAGTGGTAAACTGATCATGAGAGACAAAAGCAAAGTAACAAAATATGGGTGGAGAATGATCATGGTTACATCATCACTTTAACTCCACTTCTCCTAACTCTTCCTCCCTTTTAAGCACAGAAGTGAATAGATGTAGTTTACTGTTCCTTTGCTTTACCACTTAGCCACCAGAGGGAGCTAACACATGGAACTTTTTTTACCCTCTGCTTGGAATAGTCCATGTTCCCTAGCACTTCTCATGGCCTGATGGTACCCGTGAACCTGATTCCAGGCTCTGGAATTGATGTGTGGTTGACTTAAGGTCTCACTCTGAAGACCATCCCATTCTTCAGTATTTGGAAGTTCTGATGGATCCATCTAACTTGTCCTCTCTTTCAGCACTCTTTTCAATATCCAGTCACTAGATTATTAAATGCCAAAAACAAATCTATTTTGAAAACCTATGGGCTAATCAATTAAATCTTATGGAAACGGTGTTACAGAAGAAACAAGCCCTAAAGTACACTAATTTTGGTTTGTAGCTTTGTAACTTACTAACATTCTTTCACTTCTGAATTGATTATGGCCATTTATCACCTGTAACCATTTTTAAAATGTGAAGCACTTTGGTCTTGACAATTTCACACTCCCTCCAGCCTGGTGCCACCGTATATAGCTCCATGTGCTACTTCAGACCTATCATATAATGAGGTCCATTCATAAAATAGGCTTCTGGCTCTTTTCGCTTACTTCCCACTGGTGACAGTCACGTAACAGTTTTAGTCTGTGGAGCTAAAACCCCATGCTATTTTTTCTCCTAAGGCTTTACTTCAGGTACAATAGTTTTGTAATTTGCTTTTTATATTTTTGCTCATTTCAGGGCCCAGAGGCTACAAGAAGAAAAAAATAAAAGCGTGAGTGATGCACTTAGGAGACGGGAACTGAACATAAAAAGTATGGAGGAAGCCTATGAACAGAAGCTCAAGAATGAAGTTCTCAAGTAACTGTTTGGCATTTCTAAAGAATTCATGTGTTTGAATTAAGTTGATGGAAACATAGCAACACTGGTGAAGTAGATAAGACTAATATGTTACGGTGAAAGTTAGTGTTTAAAAGAATACATGTTTCCATTGATAGTCAAGCTTTTCCCATGAGTGTTTGAGTTAGGATAGTTCGCTAACACACTACGTCTGTTTGTTCTTTCCCATAGCCTCTGTAACAGGTGTTGAGGGCCTGTGATTCACTTTAATTTCCAGGGCACCCTGTGATGTGCTCAGCTTGCACTGCTGATGTGTGGTACACTTGGAATTGTCACTTTTAGTTCTCTTCCTCTGCCCTACTGGTACTGCTACTACAATGGGGGTATCTATTAATTCACATTATTTTCTCTAGTGGTTCTAGTGTTTGTCAGTGAACATGTGCCTTGTAGTCCTTCAGAATTCTGCAAAGCCAGAATCAAAACAAACAAACTGAAATTAACTATATTAAGCAAAAAAATGATACAAGTAAAGGAAAATATGGGTAGCTATGGTTTCTAAGGCTTTTCTGTAGTCTGAGTTTTATTGTGTTTCAGTGACTAATATCTTAGTGCAAAGACATTAAGCCAGTGTGGTAACTTTTCTCTCTAGTGCTTAGTATACCATCTGGCACATAATAAGTGTTCAGTTTAATATTTGTTGAGTAAATGAATTCTTGGTGAAGAGATGACTCATCTGAGGTACAATTTCTTAATCATTGGCCTTTTTTTTACTGCCTTGCCCATAATTTGTCATTGATATTCTGTTACACAGTACTGGCAAGGGTTTCTTGAGGTCATTCTTTTTTTTTTTTAAGATTTTATTTATTTATCTTTAGAGGGGAAGGGGGGGAGGAGAGAGGGAGAGAAACATCAATGTATGGTTGCCTTTTGTGTGTCCCCTGCTGGGAACTGGCCTGCAGGGAACCAGCCTGCAACCCAGGCATGTGCCCTGACTGGGAATCGAACCGCGATCGTGTGGTTCGCAGGCCTGCGCTCAATCCACTGAGCTACACCAGCCAGGGCTTGAGGTCATTCTTTAAAAGAATCCTAATGAAACAAAATATAGTACCCTTCCCTGTATCAGTTTTGAAATAATGGGTGTTATCTCGACATATTTTATGTCACCTGTTCGAATATGGTAGGAAACACTTAAGTATCAATAGTTATTAAACTTTTGGGAACAAATGAATGTTTGTGTGTATTGTTTACATCACCATGGAGACCGTTGTCTGGTTACCTTGGCTATTCCTTTGTGACTGGCACGGGTCAGAGGTCAGAAGGCCCAGGACATTCACCGCAGGAGACATCTTTCCTTTGACCACCTCTGAACTCAGGTCGGCTAGTAGCTGATGGGGGAGATAAGTAAAAGGGCTTGAATGTGCCTTCTGGTGTTGCTGGGGGGGGTGTGAAGGTGCTGGCACTTGACTGGCCAGCCCCTGAGGCAAAAGGTCTTCTGGGGGGTGGGGACAAGGCAGGTGGATTGGAAGTGACCGACTGCTTGTCTTTGGGGCCCTAGGGTCAGATGTATACAGTGTAAATTTCACTTCATTTGTGTTTTTGTGTCAGTTCAGACCACAGTATTCTTAGTAACCTCACAATAACATGAGTTTGGGGACCCATTTCACAGGTTTGCTGCGGGCTTTTGCTGGACCCTCTAAATTCAGAATTTGAATCTCTGGCCTAGTACTGAGAGACCTCGACATATGTATGGCCATGTTCAGTGCCCTTTGGTGCCCAAATGCCATAGCTAAGCTCACATGGCTGGGGTCTGTCCAGGAAAGTGACAAGAAACTAATTTCTGGTCATTCTGATTCTCAGGTATCAACTAGAGCTGAAGGACGACTACATCGCCAGAACTAACAGACTGGTTGAAGAGGAAAGGAAGAACAAAGGTGATTCTTAGGGGAGGGGAGCTGCGTTTTCATTTCTGATACAGGTTATTAGCATCCTGATTTGGGGCTCTTCAAAATTGAAAAAATATACAAGGCTCACACTTAATTAATAGTACAAAATTACACATTTTTGCCCTTTTAATTTTACAGAATTTGAAAAGTAACCATTGTCTCTCACTATATTTGTGCAACCTAAATGTTTAACTTTTTGTATATTCACACAGGTCAGTGATGTACTGGCAGGGTTTTATTCAACTTTATATATAAGGAAGCTCACCACATATGTGACCATAAAACTGATGTCTCATCACCTATTGGGCAACAGGCTTAGGGCTTATTTATTGCTTGCCCTTTTTTTTTTTTTGATTCTTATGTCTCCTATTTCAGATTATGAAATAATGGTCATTATGTCTGATATATTGGCCATAAATTCTTAAATGAGTTTTATATTCACTAGGAAAACATGATTGTTTAATTGGTTGGTTCTCTCTTTCAGATAAAGCTATACGTTTGCAGGAGGAGCTCGCAGCCGTTAATTTGAGAAAGGAGGAACTAAGTCATTCTGCAAATCATGTGAAAGAACTTCAGGTAATTGTTAAGCCTATGGATTTTTTTGCAGTCACTGTTAGGCAATACATGACATTTTAGTTTCAGTCACTATTTATCTTCTTGATGTGTTTGGCCTGTGTATTATATGGCTAAGCAGGTGATGGCCCACCTTAAGTTGATTCAGTAGTTCATTCCAATCTTAATCTGCTAGGGAAGCGTAGAAAGAGTCCATGCTAGGGGCCCGGAGTCTTGCTTGAGTGCCCCGTCTCTCCCTTACTGCTTGTGTGCCTCCAGACATGGTCCTTCAACATCGGGGTACTGCCCACATTCTGTGGTGTTGAGGGACCTCTGTGAGCTGATTCATGTGTCTACCCTGTAGCAGGCAGCCAGTACACCTTAGTTCTACCACAGCCTCTTCTTCCTTCCCATCAGCAATAGCTAAAGAGTCCTGTCATTACATCAGGGTCTTAGAGTTTAAAACAAAGCGAGATGCATTTTCCATGTGCCACTGTTACATTATTTCTGTTCATTGTGGTGTGCTATCTGAAGGACAGAGCTGTAACTTTAGGTACTTAAATACATTCTGTATAAAAAATTTATTTTTACAGCTGTAATGACCTATTTAAGAACTTTGTAGGCTTTTTTTGCAAACTTGAGAGGTACAAAGAAAAGGAAAGCTCCCCCAGCAAGTTTGCAATAGCTCCCTCTTTCACATTTAAAAGCATGTATTGCTAGTCTTTGACAGCTCTTGGAACCTTAGTTGCATGTGGAAAATGGGTGATAATCAGAAGCACTTGCTTTGTAGGGCGGGGTTCTACATATGTACAAAGTTGGATAAACGTTCCCTGCCCCAGCTCTTGGGTGAAACATGACTTACATTGTTGTCAAGTGAAGTGACTTTAATTAAATTGGGACACCCAGCCCTAAAGCAGCCCACCGGCTTTTTTGTAAGTGGTACTGTAAAGTCACTGTTCAGAGACAAGTTTTACTTTCTTCAATTCCAGCTTGAGGTTGAGTCTCTCAGAGCCCAGTGTTTGGCAGTAACAAAGCAAAACCACCTGCTGAGTGAAAAAACCAAAAACATGAGCGACTATTCACTTCTAAAAGAGGAGAAAGAAGAGCTTCAGGAGGAAAATAAACTACTCAAACAACAAATGCAAGAGAGTAGAAATGAAAACTTGAGTCTCTTAAACCGTATGTTTTTGTCCTGATTTTCATGTTTTTTTAAATTCATATTAGCTTATCATTGTGAAACTGCTTAGGGAGGCTTCCATTGGGAAAATTTTATAAGATGAACATTCTCGACTTGAAGTTACTTCCTTTGTGCTTGCTATTGCATAATTAGTAGTGTCACTAAGAAGAAATATTTTTAAACTGTACAAATCTGCCTCTCTGGACTGTACTGGTGTCCCCTCCCCCTTCTCCACTCAGGACACCCTCAGCACGGTATAGGAGGGATGAGAGTCAGGTCAAGTTTGTCCTTATGCTCTCATTGCAAACCACTGCCCTCCATCTGCTTCCACCAGGTCCCCTTTCTGGTGTCAGGTGGCTCTGGGCTGGCCCTGTGTCTCTTATCAGGCAAGGCCCCAGTGCTCGTGGATGGCCTATCACCAGTGATATGTGCCTGTGCCAGCTCACTCTCTCTGGTTCTGGGAATTGTCCCTCCTTGGTCCTCTAGGCCCAAGGATGGTAAGGGTATGACCCCATTACTAGCCCAGGGAACACCACCATCCTTTGTTGCTGCCCTACATGAGTCACCCTTTATTAGTGGGTCCTCCTGTGACTGAAATGGGGGAACTCCATCCACTTTGTGCCCGGACCCAGAATGCCGGGGACAGATGCACAGGTCGGATTGGACCTCAGGGTAGTCATCAGCCGTTTTGATGGAGGGGACCTTCTACAACTTCTGTGCGTGGTAGAGGAAAGTGGCAGGCTTTCAAGTTAATTTGAGGATTTAAAAGAAGTTTTACTTGGAGTAGGACTAGGAAGAGTAGCGACGTTTGTATTTGCATGCATTACATTCTTCTGGAATTCGTGGGTCAGTATTGCTCTTAGTCCATTTATTAGAATTAATATAATATTAATTACATGCATACAAAGAAGAGAAATAACCATTTAAAATCTCTTTAGATGCTTTTGCTAAGTAAAATGAGAAAACTTCTGGTTGCTAATCACCAGGCTTGTTTACCTTCTTAGGCATAGCTCAGCCATCTCCTGAGCTGCTGAGTTTCCAGAAAGAATTAAAGAAAGCAAAAGATGCTATCCTGTTAGGGCATAAGGAGTTCGAAATGCACAAGGAAGCTCTGCAGAAGCAGCTGCAAACTGAAGTGAGTACTGCTCTTTGCCGGGCCAGGTGTTCAGCTGGTCACTCTGTGTACCTGTGAAACTTGGCGTGTGTCAGACCAGTGTAAATCAGATCGATTTCAACATCAGAGACTACTCACCTAATATGTAAGGGTATCTGTCTCGTTCTGGATAATGTGTGCATGATTTTGTGATTCTATATTCATAATAGTAATGAAACCCAGAGGAAAGCAAACGCAGGTCAACGTAAAATTGTCCAGTCCTGATGGTGCTCACTATTAGTGTCTCTTGACTCTCACCCTGTGACTTAGGCACATTGACACTGTCTTTCTGGTGCCTGCCCCATGCCCTGCAGTAGCTGTTCTTTGAGATGAGTGAAGAGGGAGGTGGTGAGTTTGTGTGTTCGTTCTCTCCTTGTTTTCTAGGGACCTGCACACTACAGGTGTAAGGCTGCTCAGAACTGGTGAAGGAGAATAAGACCTATCAGAGGATTGTTCCTTTTGAAGTGAACTGGGATTTCATTTTGTTCGTTTTGTTCTTTTCATTCTTTGATTTGATTTCTTTTTGTTCTCTAAATCTTTTCAGATTGAGCGTTCTACAAAGCTGAAGGCCCGGATACTGGAGTACGAAGCTGCTGTAAGGAGGTTATCTGTGCAGGTGGCTGATTTAAAAATGCAGCTGAAACAAACTGAGACAGGTTAGAGACATTTTGAACCTATAAGTGTGTACATGTACATGTAAACTTTGGGCCTCTGTGGAAATATGATTGTTACTTGCTGAATTTTTAGCAATTCTCATAGTAGGGGAAAAGCTATAGAAATATATCATCTTAGAAGTAAAACTCTCCATTCTGAAATTTCAGGAATATCAACTGGGTCATCTGCTAGTGTGGTTTACTTTTACAGGTGTCCCGTGGCTTGCAAGACCCTCATACCTCTAATAGGAAAGGTGTGTTGGTGACGCGGAGGTCCCCAAATACATGGTGGACCTAGGCTTTTCTCTGATATCTGTTACCCTGATAATATCAATTCTGACTCCTCAGTGTTTTACATATTCCTTGAGAGATGAGTAAACACATGGGAGAAGCAGGGTGGCTTATGTCACATCAGCATAAGTCAGGTTGATTATGTATAATGTTTCTGTTTTGCACCCTGATTTTAACGTTAGTTGATTGATGGTGGGCACATTTCACTTCTGTGGACCTCGGTTTCCTCACTCGTAGTGGGGATAAGAATACCTACTGTGCCTCTGTGAAGAAGCTAAAGAGCTGGGGCCCAGGACACATCAGACTCTCAGAATGGTTACTGCTGTCATGTTATTACATGTCTTCACTAAGGAGGCATGTCGGCCGCCCCTTCCTACTTCATCAGACATGTACTGAAGCTTAGGTACCTTCTGTCACTGAAAGGCGCTCAAAGGAAGTTTCTCTGTGTTAGCATTTGAACTGGTTTCTTATGCTTCTTGATTTGTACTCTTTCCTCACTAGTCCTTGTTCCTTTCTCCCACATTCGTTTTATTTTCATCTCTTGACCCAGCTCTTCTCCCTGTTCCTTAGTTTGTCTCAACAGTTCTGTTTGCCACACTGCCCACAGCTGAAATCCCAGTGATGTTGAGTCATGAAAGACAGTTTGAGGATGGGATCTTTTCAAACACACGCATTGCCCTGGAGGCGCTGTGGGGGAGTAGTGTCCATGTGCACTGGCTTTGTGTTAGCCGGTCATGGGCGCATGTACGCCCTGCTGCCTGTGTGACCCGCCTCGGCCCCCGTCTCTAATATGGGAGCAGTGGGAGTTCTTAGCCCACAGCCTTGCTTTGACTGCAGGTCCTCATTCCCTTATCCAAAACTCCCTTATCCTATGATGGATTTTGTCACCGCTCTGGGAGTTATGGGGCAGCATCCTTTAGTGAAACGTGCTTGCAGTCAGGTATGAACATCCATGCTGGGTAGAATAAATACAGATTATGAATGGGTTTACATCGGTTCAGGTCAAGTTTATCAGCCAAATGAGTTCAGGTCCTGGGAGGTTTTGTGATCAAATAAATTCCGAATACATTTTCGGTTCTCAGAGATTTCAGGATTTCAAGATTGTGTATCATGGACTTTGAAATAATATCATGCTTTAAGAAAGAAGGCCTGAAAAAAGAAGACCCATGAAGCTGCAGCTGGTATATAAAAGCTCTCAGTAAATGCTACTAAATAATTATTAGCATTATTGTGGCTGCAGAAATGATTGCATGTGCATACTTGTTCTTACTGTTACTGCCTTCATTTTTCAAAAAAAATTCTCAAGCGTATTTGAATTTTACTCTCAGCTCATTTGTCACCTTATCTCTTTGTAACCCGCAGTCCTAGAGAATGAAGTGTACCGCAGTGTAAAGCCGCTTCTGGTCAACGGATTCGTGCTGTCTCCCGACAGTGGAATAAGCGAGGATTTCTTGAAAAGTCTTCTCAGACAGGAACAGCCAACAACGGCAGACACAGATACACCAGGAATCGTAAATTATCCAAGTGCAAGCACAGATGCTAGCTCCCCTGAGTCAGACTTTGAGTTTGTAGCCAACACCAAGGCAAGAATGAGAGGGCTAGAGCGTGAGGCTGAATGCTTAGAGAAAGCTTTCAGAGATTACTGTCAAAGGGTTCGTCATTGGCCCCAGGATGGAAGCCCACTAGCGTCCCAGAGCCCACCTCCCCCGCAGGTGCGAGGAACTCACAGGAATGTCATGTTAAGTTCCTCGGAAAGACGTGTCTTTGCAGACGAAGGAGCTGTGCCCAAGCAGCCTTCATTAAGCGAGATAGAAGCGTGGATGAGCACTACAGCCTTCCGGTCCCGCAGAGGAGCTGGCAGACGCCTCTCCGCCAGTGCCCTTGAGAGAGCTAAACGGACCTTTGAGGCCGAAATGCACCTGGAAGGTAAGCTTCTGCCGAAAGGCTTGCAGGGTGCTCTGGACTTTGGTGGTCCTCCGTAGACCTGTTAGAAAGCAGGAGGGAGCCTGGGAAATCTCTAGCCGGAGCAGTTGCATTCGTGCTGCCCCAATGATTGCCTGCTGGCCAGCAGTGTGTCTATGGCACAGGGTTGGTGTGGGAGGCAATGGGATATAGTGGCAAGTTCCAGCATTTTGCTTGGTACGCAGAGGTGTTGAGAGAGTGACAATCAGTGGCTTTCCCTTCCTGCCGATTACTTGTATATGTTATATTGTAATCACTGCAGTTTCACTTGGTGCTTGAATTGTCAATGCCGTGGGTCATTCATACATCACACTCAACTGTGTGAAAGGGCAGTAGAGTTTCTTTTCAAACTAATAGAACTCCTTAGAAACCACGTAGCCTTTTCCCCCAGGTGATTGTAACATTCTTGTCCTGATTTCTTGTGCCCCTTAGGTCTGCGTCGATCCCGAGTCACTGACCGCGGTCCACATCCTGAAAGAATGCCACAGCCTTCGCCTGCTGAGCGTAGGCACAGCCTTTCCGTCCATTCGCTTTCCAGCCCTCCGGAGCAGGAGGCCCGGTGAGTCCACATGCCGGTCAGCCTCAGCCAGGTCTGGTTAGCTGCACAGCAGCTCAGCCTCGACTTGCCTGGGTCGTGCAGGTGATGCGCAAGACCTTGTGGCAGTATAGAGTTTGCAGTCAGGCCGTGAGATGATGCGCGATGTCATAGAATCATCTGAATTACCTGGGGGAAAAAATCCTTTTAGCAAATAAGTAATTTCTTCTTGTTTGCTAAGCCTGACATATAGAATACGCCCTATATCAATAAGCATCTTCATCATGACATGAATACACTTAGTTTATAAAGGTAAAGAAGCAACATATGATCTCCAAAGGCAAGTAACTTCACTTTATTTTTAAACTTGATGTTTCAAACACAGCATTTAGATGTCATTTCACAATTACGATGCTGTATTATTATGTCCAAGCAAACAGAATCCTAATCTGTCTACAGAGATAAATTCTGAGGTGGTAGTGGGTCGTCGGGTCTGATTGGTGAAGCAGGATGGAGTGAATGTGTTTGGGAGTTCAGCAGTGGGTCACCCAGGCCAGGATTCGAGTCACATGTGGGACTTACGTGTGTGTGTACATGTACATATATGCACACATATGCATGTGTGTGTGTACACACACACATTTTATATCACTCTCTCATGCTAAAATAAAGCCAGGAGAGGAGAAAGGTCACACACGGGGGTTTAGGACACTTGGATACCATGGTGTTTATAGATTGCATCTTCACCTGACTCATGCTGATGCTGTACAGAATATTTTTTGAAACATTCCGTGGTCACAGAAGCTTCACACCATCCTGTGCTCTTGGGTGTCAGGTTCCTGCAGTTTCACACTCATGAATTTTCTTCTTCCAACCCAGTCCTTATCAAAGACAAGCTGAATTTCAAGACAGAGCTGAATTTCCGAATCCAGACGACCAGTGTGTGATTGATAACGAAGAATTTGAATCATCTCTTCACTGTAAGTTCCAATATAAGTACCAGTTTTTGTAAGTTGAAAATGTGGAAAGCTTAGTTTTGGTGAAACATACCCATTGTTATAAAAATCAGAGCAGTTACAAATTAGGACGTTTGTATTTTGTGATAACACCATAAATACACCACAGATACACCAGTTTGTCTACAAACTGGGGTCCTGGCTCTGGCCCTGCTTTACATTGTTCCCTGGCAGTCTACTGCTTTGCTCATGGACAAAATTGGGGTGTTGAGTCAGCTCTAAGGTTCTTTCCAGCCTGCGAAGCCTTTATATTTGTATATAAATATCATTTCGCCTTTTGAGCTTCAGCACCGACTCTGAAAGTATATTTTGCACAGTTAAATGAGAGGGTTTAGTAAAATTTACAAATTCTTTGCCAGCTACTTTAACAACTTAGTTGACTCATTGCTATTTAAATGGAGTTGAAATGATTATCAGCAAGCCAGGTGAATTCTTCTGGCCCTTTCCTGTTGGGTTATGAATCTAATTTTGAAAACAAATATACTTCTTCAAAGTGTAAGAACACTTGGAGAAGTGAGCACACTGGCAACTGGTTGTGTTGCGAACATCTTAGAATTGATTTTTTTTTTTAGATTTTATTCATTTACTTCTTAGAGAGAGGGAAAGGGAGGAAGAAAAAGGGAGAGAAAGATCAATGTGCGAGAGATACATCAGTTGGTTGCCTCTCATATGCCCCCAACTGGGGAACCTGGCCCACAACCCAGGCATGTGCCCTGACTGGGAATCGAACCTGCAGCCTTTTGATTTGCAGGCCAGCACTTAATCCCCTGAGCCACACCAGCCAGGGCTAGAATTGATTCTGTAAGGAAAGGTCTGGCATGGTTGCTTTGGCTGAGCTTTCCACACTCTGTAGTGAGTTACCCCCACCCTGCACTCCCCTCTCTTGCTGTAGTTGTTCAGGACTCACAGGACTCTCGTTTGTAGCTCGTGTCGATGCAGGGGATATGCCAAAGCGCGTAGAGGCGGATGGCCTCCGTCCTGCTGGTGACATGCCTCAGTTGGACGCTGCCGCAGCTGCTCTTCCTGCAAGACCTGTCTCCTCTGACTACCCAGGTAAGTGAGTGACAGGTAGCATGACCGCTCACTGAACACCAATCTGTGCCCTGTAAATTATTTCATGTGTTGTCAGAGGACTTTTTGTAAGCACAAATTACTCCAAGTCTTGGGGTTGGTTGGGGTGTTACCATTGTCAGTGACATTTCTGAAGTAACTCCCCATTTGAATATGTAAAGACCATGCCAAGGAGAAAACTGAAGAACAGGCTTCTTCTAGAGACTTCCTGGGCCAGTGGCTTTTATATCTTTTCTTGTCCAAAGTGTGACAGAGCAGTTACCTTTTTCCTTAAGAGACTTCTATAAAACCATTCCATCTTAGGAAACCATAGTGTAAAATTGAAATAATGGTTAATACCCATATACATTGTCAATGTCATTATAGTATAAGAAATATTCACATACCAGTTGTCTCTATGTGCTGCCTTCAGGTATTGAGAAATCAGGACAGAAAGACCTTTATATTTCAGTTTTTGGAGAAGCGGATGAGGGGAAGTGGTCATCAGACCTGTGTGGCCCACCTTTCTTTCCTCTCATCTTCTCCAGAGTACTCACGTCCCTTCCCCATGCGCGTGGGCAGGGAGGAAGGCCGGAGTGGGAGACTAGCGCTTCATTCTAGCCAGGTCCTTTTCTCCTCCAGCCAAAGTGTTTAAGCCTCAAACTAGAGAGTAAATTTCTCAAGCAGATCACCGCGATTTCCCAATGTTTAGGTAGGACTACCATCCCCCAAACCTAAGTATGCAAAGCCTCTTCTTGTAAGTCGTTTCTTGGTTTGAGTCGACCTCCTCAGAAATAGGAGGAGTTAGTGAAAGAAGCAGGAGACTTTGAAAGGGTTCACGTTACTGATTCCAGAGTGAATCATTCTGGAAAGCACTTATTCAGACACTCGATCAAGAACTTCTTCTGTGCTGGGCCCTTCCCAGAGAGCTGGGCACACAGCAGTGAGCCCACCCAGGCCTGTGCTTCCCGGAGCTTCTGGTGGGGAAGTCGGACAGTGGGTGAGCCATCCCCGAGGGCCTCCCAGGGCGTAAGTCCTGAGTGGGGCGCTGGCCACCCACAGGTGGATGTGACAGGCAGCCATTCGGCAGAGACATGAGTGAGATCATGTCTTAGAGCAAGGAAAACTAACTGAGGTGAGAGGTGTTCTCTCTCTGAGATGCAATATAAATTCAGTAATGCCTTTTAAAATTGTTAAATAGTGTGGTTACATTTTAATCATTGAAAAGTTCTTATGGTTATCACTTCCCATCTTCACTTGGGTACAAAGGGAGGTGGAAAAGGCCAAAGGCTGGTATCTTTGAGGTGCCCAAAGGAAACAGTGCTTTTCTTTGCTTTTACACCCAAAGAGGTTTCTGTGTGTTGTTCTGCAGCTCCGAAGTGCAGTCGTGCGCCCCTTAGCAGCAGGGATAAATTCTGAGAAACGGGGCCTTGGGTGATTTGTCATTGTGCGGGCATCCCAGAGTGCACTTGACGCAACCCTACCTGGTACCACCTCCTGTACACTCATGCTTTATAGTACAGCCTATTTCTCTCAGATTACAGGCCTATACAGTACTTTAGTGTACAAAACACAGCATTTAATGAAGCACAAGGGAAAATGATGCCATGAAGAGACGGAAGCATGAAGTGTTTCAGGGTGCTGCCCATATAACACGACATGCCAATTCGTATGGATGAAAAGTCTAGTACAGTAAACAAATAGATCAGTGACACAGTGCTTTAGTATCATCATCGTTAGGCACTGTACATAACTATGTGCCATACTTTTATACGACTGGCAGCACAGTAGGTTTGCTCGCACCAGCATCTCCACAAGCACTGAGTGATGCACTGCACTGTGACATCACCATGGCTGCAGCATCACTAGCAAACAGGACTGTTTCAGGGCCATTGTACTCTTCCAGGACTACCATCATATATGCGGTCTGTCTTTGATCACAATGTCATCCTTACCGTTGCACACGTGGTCCTTCGTGACTGCAGTTTTGGTATGTATGACTGTAGACCCCACAGCAAGGAAGTGGCCTTTGTTTTTTCTTTATCTTTTAAAAAATCAGCAACCAAACAGCATTTCTATTTTGCGATTCCTATTCCATGCCATTAGGATTCGCCTTTCTTCCACCAGCATAGAGGAGATTGCTTTTCTGCCTGTGGAAATGATCTGCCTCCTCTAGTATGTGAATTTCATGACCAGGATCAAGAGAGAGAAGAGACTGTGTTGCCTCAGTCCTATTAGTCAGTTCCTGCAGGGGACCTAGAATAGGGCAGAGCAAAATGTTTGAAGTTCTCTGGTGAACCTATGAATTCATCTCTTAGCAGAGCTGAGGGAAAAAAAGTTTAGCCTAAGAAAAGTTTAGGCCCCTCTCTAGAGCTGGAGGAGAAAAGTCAGCATAATCATCTGTGGGACCAAAATTGCATTAAACCTGTGAGACATAGGAACTTGTGATGCAAGCTACAGGGAAGAGACAAGTAAGTAAAGCCTGGAATGACAGACAGAGGACAGTCAGACAGATGTGGTTTTGATGGGCAGGTACAGAATACTGTGTGAGTGCAGTGCTGGGGAGGCTCACTGTCACCTGAAGGGTAAGGAGGACCTCACGTGGAGGAGGCACTGAATGGGGGCTTGCTAGGGGGAAGGGCTCCGTGGGAGAGGTGGGTGAAGGGAGCACATCAGGTTCGGGGAGGGTGATAGCAAAGGCCCAGCAAGGGAGGTACAGTTGTATTCAGAAAACTGAGTCTGGTGATAGAGGAGAGGATTCTGAATGCAAAAGTAAGGGATATAGGAAGTCAGTCCACAAAGAAACAGACAGGTGGTCAGAGCCTACAGCGCCCGCGGTGGGTTTGGACTCTAGTGGAGCAGAGCCAGCACGCAGAAGACCCACATCTTCTCTTCAGGAAATGACTGGTGCTGATGCAGATGGCTCGCCTGCATGCAGAGGGACCGGTGTCAGGGAGAGTGTTGGCTAGGTTACTTTGGCTGTTCAGGTCCGTGGTGATGAGGACCCTAGTGACAGCAGGAGCAGGAGTTAGAACCTGGGCGCCCTAGTGGCCGAGTGAAAGTAGTGCAGGAAGAGCATGATTAAAGGGGCAGGTTAAAGGTGCTGTGGGACTTCCACGTGTTCCTGGCAGGGAACCCATCAGAAACATGGATGCGCAGCTAGGGAGAGATTGGGACTGGAGGAAAAGATGTGGGAATGATTGGGACACAGGTGATAGCTAATACCCAGGAAGGCGTCATCAGGAGCAAGAGAATGGCAGTGAGACGGCTGGGGGGCGGTTTTGTAATGTTCTGGGCAGGAGAGGCTTGAGTGCCTTTGTGGGAGTCAGGACAAGCGTTATCCAACTGCTGTGGCAATAATTAGGGACTGGTGCTAAGTCAGAGTCCTAAAGGTAGTGGAGGAACATTATAAACAAGTGTAGTGGTAGAAATGCAGGGCTTGGGAAGGAGGGAAGAAGGAGGAAGAGTTGAGGAGGATGAGAAAATGTCGAGTGGAGCGCAGGACAGGTGAAGTTGTTCATGGTCAGGGTCACTTGTGTTCATCTCAGTAAAGTAAAAGGTGTGTGCCGTGCTAGGCATGGAGCTGGGGGCTGGAGGACCATGAAGGGGCATCAGCGGGCCAACAGCATCCGCTAAGAATCAAGCAGTCTTCCCGAGTCTCTGCAGGGACGGCTGTAAACCAAGTCCCGAGTTGGTTTGAAAAAGTGAAGCCGGGAGCTACTCTTTATTTTCTGTCCCTTCAGACATGGATCAGACACAAAATGTGGAAGACAGCGAAGAAGAAAAAATATGGCAGCTGGTTGAAGAACAAGAACAGAGAGAAGAAAGAAGTCAGAGTCTACGAGGAGCTTCACAGAGGGAACGGAGAGAACTAGAAAAACTCAACCAACAACGGGTAATAATTTTAAGTGTAGCTGAATTTGCCACGCTGGTTTCTGCATGACACACCTTCAGTGAGCAGCTTGCTCTCAGGGAAGTGACACCTTCAGGTGTCCCAAGTCTTAGTGGTAGGTAACTTAAAATAAAAAGCCTGCCATAGGCAGGAGGGCTGCACGTGCACGCCTTAGCCATCTGACAGCAACTAGGGGCTTTTGCAAGCCCGTGTGTGTGCATTCTCATCTGGTCCTGAAAACACACTCATAAAGGAGACAAGCTATGCTTTGCCATAGATCTTCCCTTTGTAAGTGTGGTTTACATGTCAGCTAGCTGGGACCACAGGAACCCCAGGAAAGTGACTACCAGTCCCTGGTGGCTTCCTCAGGCTCCCCTGCCCACCTCCTTCCTGGTCTCTTCGGCTTTCAATGTCCTGATTCTGCTCTCAGACAGATGGATTTCTCTGGCCACTTTGCACACCTGCTGAATCTGACATAAGTTAATCTTATGTATGGAGGTTTCTTGAACTCCTGGTTAATTTGGTCTATCACTGGACACATGTTTGTCCCCCTTTGAAGTCATCCAGTAGTAATGACTTCCATGGGAAAAAAAGAAATAGGTTTTTTTTGGTTAATTGTTCAAGTACAGTTGTCTCCATTTTCCCACCACCAATTTGCCCCCACCCAACCCACCCCCAGGAAACAGTTTTCTGACATGCAGGTTTTACTTAAAGGATCAGAGTTATATTACCATGTGTTTTTAAAACATGTTTCTATATTTCCTGTTCTGGTGGCCATCTGTTTGACAGTGGATGATTGAAGAGTCATTGAAGATTGAAATGGAGAAGGACTTAGAAGTGAGTGTTCAAGAAATGAAAGACAAACCTGCTTGTGATGAAAGTCCTTTCGAGAAATACATGAAAATCATCCAGGACAATCAGGACCAGAAGAAGGATGATAAGGTACTGGTGCTGTGAACCACTGTCTGGGGAGGGGCATGAGGGCTTCTGTGCTTTATTAGAAAACCTTGGGACAGGAATCTGTCTTCACCAGAGACAAAAAGGTAAAAGCAGAGGAAATTCAAAGTTCAAATGGAACCTTGAGGGTTTTTTTTTTAAGATTACTTATTTATTTTTAAAGAGAGGGGAAGGGAGGGAGAAAGAGAGGGAAAGAAATACCAGTCTGTGGTTACCTCCCATGTGCCCCCACCAAGGATCTGGCCAACAACCCAGGCATGTGCCCTGACTGGGAATTGAACCTGTGACCCTTTCGTTTGCAGGCTGGCGCTTAATCCACTGAGCCACACCAGCCAGAGCTGAAGTCTTTTAAATATATTCCATTCTTGACAAAATTTTTTTGCTTTTGCTTGAGTAAGAGGTTGAACAGATTTTGACTTGTCAAAGTTGGTAAAGTTGAGATGTGTGTTATTTTGGGAACAAGAGTGAAATATAATGAAAGCCCTGTCAGTGAACAATGAATGCATCGGTTGTCCGAGACATTCAAAGGCCGTATGAATCTGAAACGCTATGGGTACCGAGAACGCATACTGGCTAGTTGGATGTGCTTGCTCAATTTCATGTTTACAAGTCACCTCTTTTTTTGACTTTCAATTATATGTATATTTCAGAAAGTTCTTAGAGAAATCAAAGTGTTTCATGAAATTAATGTATATCTGATTTCAAAAGAATTCTTTCCCCCTCTGCATCAGAACTCGGTGAAGGTGGTCAAAGAAGTTTCGCAGGTGGACACGCTGCCCTCCAGTGACAAAGATGAGAGGTACGCTTTCCCCAACACAGTGTTCTTGGGAAACCATTAGCATGTTAATGGGTTTGTTGGCCAAGACAGCCAGTCAGAGGTTGGAGTGTGCCTGTAAGAAATGATTGAATTGATCAAAATTACTGAGTTCAAATCCATTACGTTTTTAAGTTACATATTACTACTGATACAAATTGTGAGTGAGCAGAAACCCCACAGGGAAGGAATGACAATACTATAAAGGTCCTTGAATAAACTGGACAAGAATTTAACATTTAAAACATTTTTGTCTTAATTTAGTTTCGCAGACCATTCTCATGAAGAACCAGACGACTTTTGGTAACTGCGTGTGCTGGCCAGCTTCTTGCTCCTATAACACCAAAAGGCCTGTGACTTCTCTGTATTGAGACAGAGTTCTCAATAAACAGTGTTTGATCCAATGTGGTTTCTTTTTCATCATTTGATTTGGTGCTCTGGTGCATAAACCAAAAATAATCTAGTCAGGTGACACCTTTTCCGAATTTCTTGTTCTTAGGCCTTTCATTATACTAGAATGAACTCATTTTTTTCATATTTGTGTTAGATTATATTTCCTTGAAAATGTATTGCTCAGATTCCTGTCCTGCATTTTGGAAGTTTCATCTGTGCTCCTTGCTCTCCACAGTGCAGCTACCATGAGTCATACTGGGGCCATCTTTCCCAAATCCGTCCTTCAGATTTGTCCCTGAAAATAAAGACACAGGTTTTTCCACTCTAGGCTCTAGAAATGGTACAGTATCACCACTGGTCTTTAGTGTTGGCACCTATTTCTTGGGAACCAACACAAACCCTTAGATGGTAGTAAGAAGAGAGGGTGGTAAGAAGAGAGTGCCCATACTCGGCACTTTCTATGTTACGTGTATTAACTCACTTAATGTTCACATCACCCATGTGAAGTGTAGGTACTGTGACCTCCCACGATTTATAGATTAGGAAACGCAGAGCAGAGAGGTTAGAGATTTGACCAAGGCTTGTGACCATCAAGCTGTGGATCCAGGACACCCAGGGTTGAGACAAATACCGCCTCTGGCCTGGTCTGTAGTGGAGCTGATCCAGTAGAAGACATCCCAGGACCTGGAATGGCTCACCCATTAGGTGTTCCTCTCCAGAATGACCTTCAGAAACCACACATCAACCCAATCAAGGTAACCATACCAAAATGCAGCAGCAGCATAACTTCCACACAGGTAAGAGGAGACCCATTTGCTCTCGCTCCCCCTTCATCTTTGTACACCTGCAGCTCTCAGTCCAGCATCTTCTTGTGGGAGCATCTCGGGCAATGTGGGAGCAGTTCTTTAATGACACTGCCATTATAGTCACCACAATGTGTGCCCAGAACTGCTCTGAGGGTGAACAAGCACGCCAGTCTGCAGAGACTGAGGGATTTCCCGGGCCACGAGACTTTCAGTGCTACCCAGTGACCACCCAATCCAGTGTGTTCTTAAAGCTAAAATTGTAGGCTGCATATTTATGGGTCTTTTTTTTTTTAATTGAGTAACTCTGTCTTTGATCAGGTGTCTTTTGACCACTCAATCCAGTGTGTTCTTAAAGCTAAATTGTAGGCTGCATATTTATGGGTCTTTTTTTTTTTTAATTGAGTGAGTCTGTCTTTTGATCAGAGAATTGAGTTCATGTACATTTAAAGTAATTACTGGTAGGTGTGGACTTACTCTAGCCATTTTGTTGTTTTGTAATTCCTTTGTTTTTCCTCTCTTTGTGATTTGATGATTTTCTGTAGTATGCTTATATTTCTTTATCTTTTGTGTATCTGCTATAGGTTTTTGCTTTGTGGTTACCATGAGCTTACATGAATCATATTTATAACCATCTCTATCAGGCTGATAATAATTTTGAGCATACATGAAAGTTCTGCATTTATACAGTCCCTCCCATTCTGTTTTTTGATGTCACAATTTACATCTTTTGATGTTTTGTATCCACTAACAAATTATGGTATAGTTTTTTAAATACTTCAGTCTTTGAAACTTCATGCTGGGGTTAAAAGTGATTTGCCCGCCACTATTGCAAGAATATGCTGAATTTATGTATTTATCATTACCAGCGAGTTTCATACTTTGCATGTTTTCCTGTTGCTAATTATTGTCTTTTTATTTCAGCCTGCAGGACTGTTTTTACCATTTCCTGTAAGGCCAGTCTGGTGATGATGATTTTTAGCTTTTGCTCCTCTGGAAAACGTTCTCCATCAGTCCTGAAGGACAGCTTTGCTGGGTACAGTATTCTTGGTTGGTGGTTTTGAATTTCTTTGAGCAGTTTGAATATTTATCATGCCACTCCCTTCTGCAGTTTCTGCTGAACAATATAGTTATTGTCTTACGGGAGTTCCCTTGGATATAGCAAGTCATTTCTCCCTTGCTGCTTTTAAGATTTTCTCCTTTAAATTTTGACAACTCAGTTATAACTTGTCTTGTGTACATCCCTTGGGATCTTTTTTAGAATTCTCTGAGCTTCCTGGATCTGGATGTCCCTTTCTCTCCCCACATTAGAGAAGTTTTCAGCCATTATTTCTTCTTTTAAAAAAAAGATTTTATTTATTTATTTTTAGAGATGGGGAAGGGAGGGAGAGAAGCATCGATCCCTTGCCTCTCATACACATCCCCACTAAGGTACTGAACCTGCCACCTGGGCATGTGCCCTGACTGGGAATTGAACCTGCAGCCTATTGGTGTGCAGGATGATGCTCCAATCAACCGAGCCACCTGGTCAGGGCTTTTTAAATATCCTCAAATAAACCTTTCAGTAGATTTTCATACCTTGGGTTTATAAAATAGCCATGTGGCACATGGACCCCTATGAAGGTTCTTCCTTATACTTTCCCCAAACTTAAGTTTTGTGTTAATGCCGTAGGTTTATTGCTTTCATTTATTGAAGCCCATCAGAAAATCTCTGTACTTTTCACAGAGATCTATAAAGTGTTAATGGTACTTTATGTGAACTGTAGCCCAGTGGGCGACACCATTTCCTCAAATTGTTCTCACTTAAAGGAGATTTGTCAGAGGTGAGAAAATGTAGCACTTTCTTATAAAGTTAATTTCATACCAATGTGAAATCTTGATTATGCACATATTTCAAAATGACACCGTACTGAGGACGAAGGTATTTATGTATGTAAAAAGGCAACTTAATGAAGCTATAATTTTATTTCATTTCTGTTAGTACATCCACAACTGTTTCCACCTAAATAGATCTTTAAAATAAGCATACACAAGTAATGACTATTATCTACAAATATTTATTGTAACACTTGAATAGAACTACAGGAAGCCCTTGGCACTGATAGAAAATATTGATTCACTGTTAGGTTACAAAAATTTATACATAGCAAAATTTAATGCTCTTTACATAAAAAATATTAGACTACTTAAACAAAACTTCCAAAAATTCTTGGTAATAGCTACCAGAATTAGAAAAGTAAAATTAGCCTTTAGACACTGCTTCTTCTAGAACACTGGACTCTAACAGCACCTGCACCGCTGGAAAAAACATTGAAGTCTGTCATGCCGCAGGAGAACAAATCACCAAGCTATTCTGGAACGACTGTTCTACACAGAAGAGAGCTTCTCCCAATTCAAAACAAAAAAAAAATAGTCAAGGTCCAATTAGGCATTTTTAGGCATTAACAACAACAACACAAGGAATTGAAATGAAATGTACTTGATGTTCAGTTTTAATAGCGTATTGATAAAGGTATGCTTCCTTTCATTTTAATACATTTCCATACATGTATATGTTTTAAAATCCAGGAAACAGCCAAACCACAAGTTAATTCCTAACGTGAATATACATAGTTAACCCTATATTATGCAGCCCCTTTTAAAAAGCACTGATGCACCCAACAGTTATATGTATCATTTCATAAAGAGCAACACAAAGTCTACCATCACTAATACCCAATACCTATAGTCACTTAATGTTCTGGAACACGATTTAGAAGGCAAGTTTCGTTTGAAAATGGCTTAAACTCAAGCAGTTGTATTTTTGTTTTTTTTTGTTGGTTTTTTTTTTGCTGAACATTGAACTTGATTATTCCAGAAAACTAAGATTTAGATAAGAAAACATGAAATAAATACCAATGCTAATTTAAATTACTTAAGTATTCAAGTCTATAAAAGTAGGAGGCCTGTGGTCTATTTGTAATTAGGTCTTAGATAGTTGGTATGAAACTGTAAACTCACTTTTGAGACCACATAAAAATGGTTTAGAATGGTGGTCATTTTAATAAGGTAACACTTCTTCATTAAGAAAAAACATTTGTGGAAAAAATTCTATGGAGGATTTTGGGTCTCCCATTGTGATGCAAGTTCTTAGAAATTTACAGCAAATACTCATTAAGGCAGAGCTGATATTTATTCCCCCACGAAGAATGATGACCAGTGGGTCATTTTATTAAAATAAGATCTTGTATAAAATTGACTCTGCAAAGCTTGTCAATGAGTCACAATTCAGCTTCTTTAATGGTAGGTATAGCAGAATTTATAGTAGCCCATTTTTGCATTATTGAAAAAAGATTTCTGATTGGATCATGAAATTGTGTCCTAGTCAGTTGTGAGAATCCTATTACCTTTGATGAGCCACAGTTTAATAACTGTCAGCTGTTGGAAGTGGAACTTCACACCAATTCCATTTTGTTCCCTATTGGATGCTCTCAAGGACAGATAGCATACGCGATTTCACAGCCTCATCCCTTGGTGCTGGCACATCATGGAGAGGGAGCGTGCCACATTCTCAAAGCCTGTCCTGGTGGGATTGCTCTGGTGGTAACTGAGAGCATGCCGCAAATTTCAAAAGGATGAACAATCATTTTATCAAAGTGTTGCCTTTTAAAATGGCTAACATGAAACCTCCAATATCTGTTCTAAAGAAAAAGATTTACCTACTGGAAGGTTTTCCTAGAAATACATCCCAGCAGCTTGAGACAGACAGTGAAGTGTTTGTAGTTCTACATGAGTTTGTTTGATGGGAAACACATCTGTACTGCAGGGCAGCTGTCTGATGATTTGTCAGAGCTGTCAATTCGTCGGCCGAAGCACTCTGGCAAACATTTATGTGTAAGAATTGAGTTGTTCTTTGGACCGGGACTGGATATCTTGCAGTTCCTGTTCTTCCTTTGCTTTGATATCCTGGTAAGCCTGCATTTTGCTTGCATCCTTTAAGTAAGCCCAGTTAGAAGACAGTATCATGAGGAAGTGGATCTGGAAAAGAAGGGTGAGCATGATGGCTAGTGAGCATGTCAGAGGCAAAGCAGGCTGCTAGGTAGATTAGGGTTTACTGTAAAAGGGGGAGAGGGTTATTCTGTATTAATACATATTGTGCGGTCAGAGGCATCAGATACTGAGGGCATGCTCTGCTAGTAGGCTTCATATTAAAAGGCTGAAGGAAAGTT